CGCCGCGGTGCGGGCCGGCTCGCGCAGGGCCCGGCGGGGCGATGTAGGGGACATGCCCTGACGGGACGGCGAGCCGCGCCAGCCGAGCCGCCCGCCGCTACCGGCCGCCACCGCCGCTATGGCCGGGCCCGGCCTCTGGACGAGCATCAAGTCGCTGCTGCGGAGGAGCGAGGACCCCCTGTTCCTGAACGACTCCAGTGCCTTTGACTTCTCGGACGAGGCGGGGGACGAGGACTACCCCCGGTTTAACAAGCTGCGAGTGGTGGTGTCGGAGGACCCCTCGGAGGCGGCCGCGGAGAGGCCGGTGAACGGGGCGCCCCCGGGCCTGCCCTCCGACGACGAGTCCCTGCTGGAGCGGGACGCGGCCCCCCGCGGCGGCCGGGGCGACCCCTGCAGCGGCTGCAGCCGCCGTCGGGAGCGGTGCAAGCAGAGGACGGTGAAGAAGCGGCTGACGCTGGCCGCCCTCCTCTACCTCCTCTTCATGACGGGGGAGCTCATCGGTGAGTCGGGGGATTGGGGTTTGTTTCTCTTTTTCTGCCGGCCTCGCAGCCTCCTACGCTGCTCCCGTCTTGGTTTTAATTATTTAGTCAGAGAAACCGTCAGTTATTTAGAAATCAGAGAGAGGAGCCCCGAGTTCAGAGGGTGGGACGGAGGAAAGTCCACCGGTATTTTCTATGCAAGAAAAGAGGAATTTGCAACTTCCCGTACCTGAATCTCATCAGTCCCCTCAAATGGCATAAAATACCCTTTTTTTTTTTTTTTTTCATCTAATGGCCTTTTATTTCTCCAGTAAATTTGTTACAGGTTTGTAAGGTGTTTTTAGCAAGGGAGAAACGGCGTTTAATTACAGACGTAAATAAAAGAAGACGAAGAATTTCATCCTCAGTATTTTTTAATTACTGCCGTAAAATCTTGCTGTGTTTGTAACAAGAGAAAAAGAGGGAACTACAGTTTCTAATGTGACATTTACTATAATAGCAAAGCTCTGATACTGGCGGGTGTTTGTCCTTATTCACACTCTGTTATTTACAACTGACAAATCCTGAGCTATCAATGACAATCCAGTGAAGAAGCCAACTTCTTGACAACTTCCTGATGTCCTGCTGTGCTCTGGACTAGCATGTGCTCCACCCGGGCATAACTCTTTAAATCAAAATCAATTAAAATAAGTATCTTAACACTTCCCTTAATAACACGTAAGAATACCAAATAGTTTGATTAAATTCTTTGTGGTTTTTGTTTGTTTGTACCTGGCAGAAATATGGTGGGTTTTTACCTGGAAATTTGTCCCTATATAAGCGTCTGATTGTTTTCAGAAGAATGAACCTGGAGTTCAGCCTTTGTTGCTCGCTCACAAAGACATGTCAGTTGCTGGTCAGGTTGAGGATCACCTACCTGTGCCTTATACAGCAGTCTGTACAAAACCACTCTGCTTTACTTAATAGGCTATAGAAGCATAGGCTTGAAATAAAACTAAATTCGGATGTCCCTTGGATGCATAGATGAGCTATTAAATGTTATGCCTTTGCCATTACCTAATCATTTTTATAAAAGTATTTATCTTTCTATCTCTGTTCATTTATCAATATCAGTGTCATTTATCACTAGCAGCATTGATCTTTTGGATACGTGAATGCCGTTCAGTGGAAGTGTGTGCTTGGTGTGACTCAGCCTCCTGAAGGATGCTCAAACCCTCTCATCCACTTTCCCCTGGTTTGTAGTAGTGGGGGGTGTTACACAGGGCCAGTACCTTGATGTGTGTGTTGAGCCAGGTCTCTCTAGCAACTATAACAATTAATTGCTTTTAAATTGCTTTCATTTTAATGTACAACTCTAAATCAGAGCTAATCAGATGAATTATTTGCCATAATTCACCAGAAGGAAAAAAGAAATGTCACAAAAACTTTCTGGCAGTAAAGAACAGAGATGCCTTAGGTATAGTAACACGGCACCTACATCATCCTCACCCATGCAAATTTAATCAGTAATGACTGAAGATGTGACATTTGCTCACACAAAGCGAGCTCATGCTCTTGGATCACTTGTCCTAGGAGAGTAGTGAATTGTACCTTTAGGACAGAAACTTCTATGACATGGATAGGGAGCAAAATTATTGCTTGAGTATAAATAATACAGTTTGTCCCACATACATAGAAAAAAATCCCTAGGAGAAACAGTCCGTTTTTCAGAGAGAGACAGGAATACTGACTACATCTGCACCAGCTTTATTTGAGGCCTTATTTCAGGAACGCGGGTTTATGGAAAAAAGTGGGTTTGTCCTTCGGCATCTCTCAGTGAGGGGTTAGTCATTAACAGCACTGTCACAGCACATCAGCTCATCACAGATAAGGCATTTCAAATCAAACCTGTTGCAGGGATCTGGTTCAATGCCTCCATTTGCTCCCTGGCTCCATTTTTTTCTCTGGTTGAGATTTTGGTTCAGTATGAACTCAAGTACGTTTGATAAGCGACATAGTGTTGTATCTCAGACCTACACGTCCTTTAACATGAGAGTGATTTTGTTTGTTTGTATTCCTGTCAGAGTTATGTTACATGTTTAGTTCATCTGAAGGGCCCCTTACTGAACAGTATTTCAGTGCTGTTGGCAGCTTGATGCTGAAGTCAATAGGAGTGTATCTGTTGGGGGCTTTGAATCCGATTCACACTGTTGTAGACCTCTCCATTGCTAGTGCAGGGAGAGCTCTAGAAAGAAAAGGTGCTGAGAATAAAAATACTCTCTCATCACTGTCGCATCATCTGTTGTCTCTCCCTTACAGCCAGGACTTCTGCAGGCTCAGCTCTGGGTGGTGGATTTGTCTGTACCACGGGTTAGTGCTGTAGTGTGGGCTTGTCCTCCTCGGGTTCATGTTCGCTGTTACCAGCCCCCTGCGTTATTTGGGTGCTGAGGCAGACAGCACTAAGGCCCAGACCCGTAAAATAGGCATCCAGCTTCCACAGAGAATAAATAAACTTGGGTATCTCTGTACTTCTGTGGATCTCAACCTGGATGATTTCTCATAGGGCAAGCAATCAGCAGCAAGAACGAGTAATTAAAGACGGGGCCCTTGAGTCCTGGGTCAGTGCCCTACCTGTTTTATTTATTTCACTCCAGCCCTGTATTGTGTTCCGACTGATTGGCTTCAAATTTTGGAACTTTTTGAATTGATCTGTAGCTCAAGTGTTTGGGAAACTTTGATCACACAGGACATTTTAACTGACTTCTTTCTATGATCTTTGGCAGTTTAGAGTTCCTGAGAAAAAGGCAGAAGACCCTATCAGACAATTAATTTGTTCAGTAAAAAAATCTTTCTGCTGTCTGTTGTCCATGTCAAGAAGAAGGAAATCTTGTTTTAGCAGCTTTTTTGTGAAATCTTGATTGGCATATTTTTTCCAAAGTATGACCCAGCTCATTACCCCAGACCCCCTCAGTGGTGCTGTTTAATTTGATGAACGGTCATTGTAAAAGTCAGGTAACAACTTACACTTTGTGGGAACCTTTTACCATCAAAAAATGAAAAACATATTGCAAATCCTGGTTAGCTTTTCTGACAGGGTTTTGATGTTTTCAGCTACGTTTAGAGATTTCTAATTGATCATCCATGAGGAGAACTGCTGTCCTTCACGGGTCACTGAAAATAGTGGTGAGCCATCAAGCTGTCTATTTGTAAAGGTTATAGATGTCTTTTTTTTTTCCAAGTTGCCAATTGTGTTTAAACAGCCCGTAGGCAGTACCTGTAACCGAGCAATGAACCGATACATTTGGAAACAGAGAACCTTTGATTTCAGAATTTAATAAATCTCCATTATGTTTTCTTAATCCACATGCTGCATTATGATTAGCTCCAGTACCTGAATTCCTTATCACTTTAAAATTAAAGTCTTTAAAAGTGAGAGACTAGCTGAAATTGAATTGTTGGACTGAAGTGATTCTCAAAATTAATACATAGGAATTACCTTACATACTTTAAGTGTTCATAAATGTAAACTACTGAATTGAATGTTCTTAGATATAAATTACTTTTTTCTTCTGTGTTGACTATAAAAGAGGCTGAGTTCCACATTTCTAAGTCGTATTTTTTTAAATTATGTGAGAACACAAATTAATTCAGAAAGGAAAGGCATAACTCATTTTACTCAAAAAGCTGCTGAATTGCTAAATCTTAAAACCTCGTTATTTTTGAGCTGTGGTGGTCTTTGGAAAATTTCAGCCTCAGAAGAATTTGACTTAGAGACTTAGGAACACCTGAAGAAGAGGGGATGGAGGAAAGGAACTGTTTGAAAGGTGGTGTATTTGGTAGTTCCCCACAGTACAAGCAACACTCCAGGATCAGCCGCCTGGCTGGGGAGGAGGGTGTAGGTCCCTCTGCAGGTGTGTACATACAAACACCCACAGCCACACACACACACAGGTTTCATGACTGGAGTTGTGAATCCCCCTTTGCTGTTTACTCATAGTCAGCCTCTTCACTAAGACAGTTTTAATTGTATACAAAGATACCTTTACTCGAAACGTTAGTTGGAGCCTGAAGCCTGCCAAATGGCACACCAGCTGCATGCTTTGCTCAGTAGAATTTACAGGCTGAATGACAATCTCAAGGTAAAAAGAGAAACTAAATCATAGCTGAGCTGACACTGAAGATGTGATCTTCTCTGAGCGAATGGGCTTATATTCATGCATATGGAAGAAAACAGCCTGTCCCTGATTCCCCTTTGGATAAAGGATGCTTAAGAGAGAGGCACATTGTTTAAATCTCTCACCCATCCAATAGCAGCATTAGCAGTTGAGTTGAAACAAAGATATTAACCTTTGATCTGAGGTTATTTGTCTCAATGCAGCTCATAATTACGAGAAAAGATTATGGTAATAAATAACAAAGAAAAATGCTGTGCAAGTGAAAGTCGTCTGCAGTATATATTGGAAGAACTTACATACCTCTGCCAGGACAGAGAATAATGAAGGTTAACAGATAATGTAATAAAAATAAAAATGGGGCAGGGTAAACTTCCTTGCCATTGAGTCATTGGATTTCTGCCTCTATTCTGTAATGTCAGAGTATTTAACAGATGTAGTTTAATAAATGGATCAGCTGATTAATCACATGCAATAATACATAGAGAAAAGATACAAAACTGCTTTGGGCCCAATCCTGACAATATTATGATGCAAGTGGTCTCTGTGAGAATAACAGGGGTGAATCCTTTCTATGTTACTCTTAATAGAAAGCACACTTGACTGCACTTGTAACTATGGTAGCTTTAAATTATAGCATGGCATTCTGATCATAATGGCAAAACCCCTGTTTAGTCATTATAGGAAAGGCTCTCATGTACTTAATCCACTGTTCTGAAAATAAATAACTGTACGCTATGCCAAGAGGATATTATCTAGAATCATTAATGTCATATGTCCTGACTTTTCCAACTTTGTTTTCAGGTGGATATGTTGCTAACAGTCTAGCAATTATGACAGATGCACTTCATATGTTAACTGACCTTAGCGGTATTATTTTGACCCTGCTTGCTCTCTGGCTGTCTGCAAAATCTCCCACAAAGAGGTTCACTTTTGGATTTCATCGCCTAGGTATGTAGATACCACCTTTTGCTATTAACAGAGAATTTTAAGCAACAACTGTAAAGTTCACCCAATTCTAGAATAATAGGTAACTAGAAAGAAAGTAGCAGCAGACCTAAAAGTTGCTTTATGTTTAAGACCCTGACTAATGTCCTTTCACTGGCCATTGTGGATCCACTACGTAGCTTTTATTGCCACAAGGGAATAGATAACAAAAACAAAAAAGTTTTAAAATTTTACACCTCAGCCAAAAGTGAAGTTTGATGGCTGAGTTTCATGCACTGGGAGCAGGACGAGTCTCTCCATCTCTGTGGAACCAGGACTTAGTAGATTCAGAGATAAATTTTGAATGCTTGATTCATCTTCCATCTTAAAAATGAAGGCTGGGGAGTTAGATACATTATAACATTGTAAATACAACTTCCTACAAACGAATCATGGCCTGAAAAGTTTAAAAAGGGTTCAGAGGAGGGAAGCTGTCGCCAGCAAGAGCAGGGGTAGATACGCAGCTGTGTTTCACAGCCCATCCAGAGTTACTGGGCTGTTGCATTAGGTCAGGCCCCTGTGCACCTTTGTGCTGTGGAATTGAGGCTGTTGAGCGAAAGAGGGACACGTTCTTTGGTCACTCACCACTGTACCACTGTTACTGCTTGTGTGACACACTGAGGAGCTTGTTGGTGCAGAAGCTGTATGTGTCAGTCAGTTACTGTTCACAACAGATTATTGCCAATGCCCAGGCTTTACGAAGTCCCATTGACTTCAGTAGAATTATCACACTTGAAAAGTCTTATTCAATGTGAAAAATGACATCTTAATCCACAACTAAAAAGTTCTGTAGAGTGTATTATCAGAGAGCTCTGCTCTGCCAGAAGCCACATAAATTAATATTCCTCTTGCACTCCCCAAACCACACAAAGCAGAGGTCAAAATGTCCCATGGGTTGCGATACAGTAACTTACTTAACCCCTGTCCATTTTAGGCATCTGTAAAAAGAAGTATAAACAGAATTATGTAGTAAACTTTGGAAGGGTATTTTCAGGATTCATTACTTCATGTTTGGCTATGTATTGATAATAAAGGGTGGTTTCATGTGTTAGCTAACTGGATATAATAATTTGTAATATCAGCTGCAGATGCTGCAGACATTTTACCAAAAGCTTCAACCTTTATTTTTCATTAAATAGATAATTTCTAGTGTCACAGTTTGCTACCTCTGCTCTATACATTCCGCAGCATATATTTTCAAGGAATTTCGAAGTCTTGTGTAGTCATTATTCGCAATTCTTATTTTGGCTGCTATAACAGCAGCAGAATTCAGCAACTCCATCACTCCTAGTCATTTGTCATCAGTTAGTCACTAATGCATGAATGCATAACTCTACACTAGCAAAGATCTTTGGGGCTTTAGCGAGAAAGCATTAACAATGCCAGCATTTCCCATTACAATCTTTTCTTTCAAGAAGTTTTAATTTTGCGACAGGGGCTCTTCTAATACTGAAACCTGACCTTGCAGGTATGCCCCTGGCATTTGCTCATACTCTCTAGAAGGATGTTTGTTAGCATTTATACATACTTTAACCCTATTTAAAAGTAATTTGAGTAGTTTATATGTCTTTGTAACTTTTCTAAAACCAAATAGTACGTATGTTGAACATGCCGTGGCTTACCTTAAAACATCAGTTACTCTTAAGAAGATTAAAATAAACATATTTAGCCATTAAAATCTTACCCAGTTCTGTAAATTTTCACTGCCTTTTCAATTAATTAATTTGAGGGCTCCACAGCACTTTGTAAACACAAATCCCTGAGGATTCCTACCACCTCACTTTCTGTATATTTTTTGTCCCCATTTTACTGCCAAGAAAAATACTGGCTGGACTGATCCAGTGGTGAATCTATGGGCTGAATCTAGACTATAGAATTGGTCCATATTGCCCACCATCTTCCCTCTGGGCACCGTCTTCTCCCCGGGAGAAACTAAAGGGAGCAGCTTCTCAGTTCTGCAACGATTATTCTTTTTCTGCTGCCCAGTACCAGTAGGTGGTAAAACACTAGAACAGGCTGCGAAGTCTCCACAGTTGGAAATATTCAAACCCCAGCTTGACGGAGCCCTGAGCAGCCTGCTGCTTTGAGCATGCTTTGAGCAGGATTACACGCTCTCCAAGGGTTCTTTTGTACTTCAGCCATTCTGCAGCAGCAGCACTGCTCTTCCTGGAGGAGGAGGAGGACTAGAGCTTGATGATCTTTAAGGTCCCTTCCAGCCCAAACCATTTTATGATTGATTCTATGATTGAGGGTGAGGAGAAGAGTTTCTGTGGCTGCCATGAGGAAGGGGAAGTGGGTAAAGGCCCTGCGTCTAGGCTCTGCACGTACGGAAGACAGGATGGTTCCAAATTACTATATAGCTTTTTAAAGTCACATTTGTGAAATTTATTTGCCTGATTTTAGGCACTCAGTCTGAATGCTGTGGCCTGAGGGCCTAGTTTCACACATCAGTGAATGCTGGCAATGGAACAAAGCTGCTTCTAGGGTATAGCCTTGCTGTAACACATTTTTCCAAATAACCTATATGTAAGAAGCTTGTCAGCAAGTAATATGAGCTCAACAATAGCTTGAATTTCATGAGAGAGATGTTAAAACATGACAGAATGTTAAAAACAGGGTACAGATTGAGCATCTGTCACAGCAAAAATGTGGAGCGTTTGTTTAAAGCTGGGAATATGTGTAAGAACTATCTCATTGCTGACCTGCTTTGCATTAAGTTTTAAGATAATCAGTACACACAGTAACCATGAAAACATTCTAATGAACAATGCTTCTGGTGCTCATTATCACTTTTGTTCACAGAATGATGAATTTTCAAACTCATTCTCATAAACATTGCATTGTAAAGAAAACAGACCTTTTAGTTGTCTAGTCAAATTCCAGAAAGAAATTAGCACTATTTTTCATTTCTTTTAATTCTCTTTGAGTACATAATATGTATGCTCCATCTTCAGTTTTATTCTGTTTTCAATGGTGAAAAGGAAACTGACAGATTCAGGAATGGGTTAGAAAAGTGAAGACAAAATAATGGAAATTGCAGTCATGTCTAAAAAGGATTATATTCTTGAAGCCAAAAATAGTTCTGTTTCACCACCAAGTGGAGATACCTCCTTCTCAGCAAGGCACTTAGCAGATTTAAGCATAGATATGGAATTTGGCATTTTTCCATTGCTGCAGAGACAATGTTAGTAATGACAGAATCAGTCAGTCCACTGAGACAGTGCATAGTTCATTTCACATGAAGTGAAAGATCTCAGCACAAATCTACAATGCTGACATGACAATGACTGTGAAAGAAACTGCAAGGAAAACACTGGTTTCTGTAGAAAACATGGGTTTAGATTGTAAAACCATAATATGTTATTTCTCTGGTAAAGGCTGATGTGCTGTGGCTTAGCAAATTTTTTAAAAAGCACTCTGGAAAACCTTCTAAGCAATTCATTATTCTTTTTAAAGGCTGTTGGCCTCAATAATCTACCTGCTTCATGAAGAAGGCTACCACTTGCGTGGGTATTTCCAAGATTTTCATGTTGCTCTGAAACTATCTGAGATTGTGACAGTTGCCTTTCAGAGCCTTGTTACTGCCTGGTAATGCTGGTACTTGTCCAGGCACTGAGACACTTCTGAACAGCTGAATGTGTTGGTGTGAGTTTCTTCTCCTATAATGATGTTAAAAATTCAGTGTATGGACCAAGTGATTCTGGCAATATTAAAATGCTTATACAGCTGCATGTTTTTTACTGTAGTATTCAATAAATAAAATTAAGGTGGTTCTGTGTTGGATATGACAGCTTCTGCAGTAACGAAAGTTGTACTACACACTGACAGATTCAAAGCAGAGGGAGAAGCAAGGCAATTCTCAGGTCAGTATTAGAGCTATGGTACAGCCAAGAGCAGAATTTTGCCCTTACTGAGAGTTCCGAGTAAATTAATTCCAACTCTGATCTTTGAAATCACACAGGAAGGCTAAGATCCCAGTGATCCATCTGGCAAGTGACAGTAATGAGCATTACGCATAATGATTACAGATTACTCAGGCATGGCTGCGGATTTGTGTGCAATACAATGGAGCTAGCATTAAGGTTTTCCCAGTGCTTTTTGTAAAGCCCTGTATTAACTTGCTTATAATCGAGACAGTCTTTTAACTGGGCCAGTGTTTTCTCTGTCAGGTATCATCTTTTTTTTTTTTTTTTTAAGTTTCAGCTGCAACAGGGCAATAATTTCCAGAATATGAAGCTGGAGTGTAAAAGTATGTTTATGTCAAAAGGAATCTGGTGACCCATTTGGAAATGCCTATATTCTTTATAGTAGGACCTTAAAACTGTAGTGTGGACTCATCCTCCTCAGGTCTATGTATGCTCTTACCAGCCCAATTTCATGAATGGGTACTGAGGCAGACAGCACTAAGGGCCAGACCCATAAAATATTCAGGCCTATTTACCTCACATCAGAACAGCAGGAACCCTGTAGAGAACTGTCACCGCTTTCCACAGATGTAAATGGCAGCAGAATGTGCAGGACAATGAAATATTAGTTGTTTTTATTAACTTTCTAATTTTCTCTTTATTTAGGTGTATATGCCCTTTTGAAAATCCCTGCTCCTCAAATAAAATTTCTAAACCAAAATAGTCATTTGGTCTTAACAATCTTACTTTTGTGAAATACAAGTATTTGGTAAACAGTCAATAATGTTAAAACAGCATATTACAGCAATACAGAAACTTACATTAAGCAATCCTTGATAGCTGAAATCTGCAATATATAATGTGTATGTGCACATATGTCAAGAAGCTTAGGAGTAATATGTCTGACAATTTCGTACTGTTCACTTCCTTAATATTGTTGTATTTTTTTCTCCATCCTAAATAGAAAAGGATATATAAAATTAATTTCTAAATCCAGCTTAATATTGTGGACACTTGAAAGCAAAATTTCTCATATTTGTAGGTGGGCTGGTGATGTTCAAGGTCACCGATCTTCCTCTCCCCTGGACAGGGCCTTTGTCTGCGACTTCTCAGGCAAAAGTTCTGGGTTGTCTGAAGAAGTCACAGTCACCGCTCGTGCAGAAGTTTTCAGAGAAAACATGATTTGAGGGATATACTGACAGGGAGGTGTGAAGGAGTGGATTAGAACAAACTCCATTTGTTTATCCTATTTTATGAGTTTTATTTACCACACAACTTCTTAGTTGTGCATGAGGGTTACACTACATGTAAAATAGTTAAAATAATTAAGGCTCTGTCCACATTCTGATTTGGAAATAGAAATAGATCCGAGACTAACTTTTATAATGTTGTTTCCTTTCTGTTTGCAGAAGTATTGTCAGCCATCATTAGTGTGTTGCTGGTCTATATCCTTATGGCATTCCTCTTGTATGAAGCTGTTCAAAGAACTATCCATATGGACTATGAAATAAATGGCGATATCATGCTGATTACAGCAGCCGTTGGTGTTGCGGTTAATTTAATGTAAGATCTCCCTTTCTCTCCGTTAACACTCATAAATGTATTTCTGAATAAACTGCTAATTTATTCATGGCTTGTTACTTTCTTATGGGATGTAATTTTCCTGGACCTCTTCATTTTCATAAATAAGACAAGTAATGATACTGAGTATTACTTTTTGAATCCTTTAGTTTAAAAGGAAAGAAAAAAGCAACAAAAAAAACTAGCCACCAAGTCCTAAAGACTGTTTCTTGGAATGTTTTTCTTCTTTCGCTTTCAGAATGGGTTTTTTGCTGAATCATCTTGGCCACCTTCACTCCCACTCCCACTCCCACCCTCACTCTCACGTACCTCAGTCGAGCTCTCCTAACGCAGCCCACAGCGGTGGCCACGGCCACAGCAGCCTTGCCGTGAGAGCAGCCTTTGTACATGCCCTGGGGGACCTGGTACAAAGCATTGGTGTGCTCGTAGCTGCATACATCATACGCTTTAAGGTAAGGAATGGCTCGTCTTTGAGGCAGCATGGAACTTCTTTAATTTTAACTTTGATGATTAAATTAAAAAAGGGACTTATTTTTGTAAGTTATTAATAAGTACTTAGTGATATTGTATTACATGCTTTATACATTCATGCAAAATAAGCAAAGACTATCTCTGTTCTGTATTTTGTAACTATTCAAAGATTCATAAAAGTTGGAGCCAAACATAACTGCATTTTCTGAGTCAAATTTTTGTAAGCAAGCTCGTTTTCAAGCATTCTCTAACACTTTGGAACTTCCCTTGCAGCCAGAATACAAGATTGCTGATCCTATATGTACATATGTATTCTCCATACTGGTGGTTTTGACAACAGTTCGAATTCTGTGCGACACAGGAGTTATTATTCTGGAAGGTAAGATCTGTGTACAGTCTCCAGTATTTTACATGTTGAATACCAGTGAGCTCTGGCGCTTGTTTGACGTCATTGTCACCATCTCTAACAAAATGGGTTGTGTCTGGAGACCTGTTTATCCTGCTACTGCTTTAGTCTGTTGGTTCTTGATGGCTCATCTGAGTTGCAGCAGTCTTTAGGTGTGTCTTTGACCTCTGCAGTGAAAAACGCACAGAACTTTCTTGTGTATCTGCAGTGGCTGTCAGCTAAACTAAGTGAACATTTGCCCAGACTCAGTTCTACACTCTTGCTTTAATTACTTCTAAAGTTAAAGTGAATGTGAAGGCATGTAAAAGGAGGAAGCAAGCTCAGGCCAGATCGCCGGACGGATGGGTCATGCCTGTCCTGTCCTCCCCTTTTCCACAAGTGCTGTGGTATTTCTTGTGTGCTTCTACTGTTCGCCTAGGGGAAGCTACAAGTTAAGTGTGGTGTAAAAAGGAAGAAGGAGAAAAAAAGGAGATAAAAAGCTGAACATAAGCTGAAGAATGTTATCTCATGTAGTGACTTGGAAGGAGACATGCCAGCAACATTCAACATTCTTTGCATTATTATAACTAACATGCCAACTATTAATGCTTGATCTAGTACTTCTACCTGATGGAAGTGAAAATATTAGGGATGGAAGAAAAATCATTGATTTGTAAAGATGCCATGCTTTAAAACAAATGTCTTATGTGTTAACCACTGCAGATGGATTACTATGAGCATTTGAAAATGATACCTGTTACCTGAAGGGAGAAGTTTTGAGGATGTAGCAGGGGACAGGCCCTAGCATTTTTTTTTAAATTCTGACCTTGGAGTCTGGCCTAAGCAGTTCCAAGGAGTTGGAAGCTGCAGCAAAGTTGTCTACAGGAATACATCACTCTAAAGGCTCTAATGCTGGCTATTGCCAGAGAGTAGATTCTGGACAGGACAAATTACATTTGAGACAACACTGCAATTCCTGTACAACTTCTGTATCCGTATTGCACTTAATATGCCAAGGTGCATATTCTTCTGTATTGGTAACTTGGAAGTTACTAATCACCTCAAACAGTACAAATTATAAACTCTCTTGACATTGAGATCTGTCATGACATTTTAAAGGCCACAGAGTTCACGGAAGACAGAATTAATTTTATCTCATGTTTGGTATCACAGGAGTTCCAAGGCATTTAAACGTGGATCGCATTAAGGAAGACTTGATGAAAATTGAAGATGTTTATTCTATAGAAGATTTAAATGTTTGGTCTCTCACTGCCGGAAAAACAACTGCCATAGTCCACTTACAACTAGGTAAGCTGCTGTGCAGCATAATTCTAGATTAAGTCTTAACTGTAGAAAAAACCACCATTTTATCTTCTTCACATTGCTACTTAAGTTGAAGCAGGAAATAGTACTTCGCGGGAAAAAATTCCAAAAAACTGTACTAACTATGATTTTGTACAGGTAAGTGTAGAACCCATTTGCTTAGAAGGACACAGTCTGAGTGAAAATTGTGCAAAGAAAATATATTCATACTGAAACATCCAGTACTGGTTCTTTGGGTAGAAAAAAAAAATAATAATTTCTCCTCAGAAATTCCCCTATTTTGTCCAGGGGAAGATAGGGCGAAGTTCTACTGTGCACCAATCTGACATGAAAAATAAATGTTTTGCCAAAACATGTGCGGATTTAGACATCTAACAGTACTATGAATATTAATTCTTAGTAAGAAATCTCAGTGAAGGGTGGTGTCTTAACACACGCGGTTTTATCAAGATTTGATTCTAGTTAAATGATATAGGCCTGAAAGTATAAAATAATAGAGAGTACATAGTGACTGCAGAACTATATTAAATTAATAAATTCATGAGCGTGAACAAAGATTATTCTAGTCAGTGACTCTGTATGATAAATTTGAGAACAGCTGGATTGTCCAGGTTTCTTCTAGAGTGAATTGTATTAATTATTTTCTTGATTTTTCCAGTTCCTGGTAGTTCATCTAAATGGGAGGAAGTTCAGTCCAAGGCCCGGCAACTGCTGCTGAACACATTTGGAATGTACAAGTGCTCTGTCCAGCTTCAGAGTTACAGGCAGGAAATAATCAAAACCTGCCCAAGTTGTCAGAGTTCCAGTGCCTAATTTCATATGTTTTGGGAACTGCTGCCTTATTCTTTATCTTGTAGTCAAAGACTGAGAGCAATAAATGCAAAATGAAAATGGTCAAGTAGAAACCATTAATAAGTGGATTTGTACCATGTAACATGCAGCAGGGAGAACTGGTGCTGCAAAAAGTGCAGTGGTTGCCCTACAGAACATGTATTTCACTCTCTCCCTCGTACTGGTTTATTCAATTTATTATAATTTTTAGACAAATCTGTTTTCAGATTATTGTTTACAAACTGCAATGTGACTTTGCAGATACCTCACAAATTACAGTCCAATATTGTCCTTTAATAACTATGTACCACAAAATACCTGCACTCCAAATGGAGGACCATCAAGTATTCAGTATTTCAATTAAAGTCTCTAATGCTGATTATGCCAGGGTTCCATATTATGTCACAATCCCTGAATTCACTATACAGTATTTTTGCAATAGTAATTTTCGTACAGGATCTTAAACTATAATGCGTACACTGCTAGTTGAATTCTTCTGGAAACTGTCTCTTTGGAGACACTGCAAAATACAGAATTTACTGTACTCAGACCAGAAAGTTAGCTTTAATCTGGGCATTTAGCGATCCAGACAGGAAGATCCTTGCCCGGACTTCTGGTATTTAACTACAGACCCAACACTGGACCCAAAGTGTTTTAAGTGAGTTATCTTTAGTGTATTTTAGAATAGGGTTTATACATTAGAAACAGGTTATTTATTTTACAAAGTTTTGACTTGTAAGATAAATTTATTATTAATAATCTTGAATGTCTAAACCAACATTTGATTCACATTAAAAGGCCAGTTGACTAGCATGCATTCTAATTATAATTAATAAATGTCCTGTAATTGATCATTTTTCCATGATTGTTTAGTTTTAAAGGGAAAATGAAATGATAGAAACTGTGCTTGAGATGGAGATACTCTTCAAACACTATCTACACACATGCAAAATACATGCATCTTCTTACAGGAAAGCAGGGAGCAGAAGTTTGAGATACAAACTATTTCCTCAGTCAGAGATCTCTGACCTTTTCATCGTTGCTTTGAGCACAGCGTGGCAGTATCCTGACAGGAATGCCACTACAATAGCAGTCCCTCACAACTTAGCTTTCTGAATAAAGCAAAATCCAAGCAAGCTCAGTAACATAATGGTATTGGACAACAATATCATAATATTGCATTGGACAACAACATCGTAGCAACCTACAGAGGTAGAAAGCCCTTTTCTTCTTTACAGAGGGATCAGGCAATTTGAAAAAAAACTATTATTTATTCAGCTTCAAAGTCCACAAAACAGAATTGCTTAGCCTCCTCATGGAACCACTGTACTTCTACACAGGATAATAAAAGCTGACACTAAGCTATCATACACCTCCAAGCTCAGAGTTACACCTGCTTCCGAGGTCATTTGCATTGAAGAAGCTAAGGGCAACAAGAGTTACGACCTGGAAAATTCAGAAGGCAGCAAGAACTTGGCTTCAAATATATTTTCTTATTCTGTACTTTGATCTTTGTGCAGAACTTCAATGACATCAAAAGTAGTTCTGTATGTGGATCAGAAAGGAAAATTTTTGCCCAATAATGGATATTGTGATACTCAGCTGTGAATACTTAAGCTATTGTCTATTTTGAAACTTTCTAGGGTTTCACACGTTCATCAGGCTGATTTATACCTGCAATTGGTGGTAACAATCTTGGCTTCTTTTCTGCCCTTTTTTTTGGGATAGGGGTCACATGATGAGTTTTTAGAGGTGATCACTGACAGCACAGTATTAATCTGGACAAAGCACACATAACACTGGATTATGTTTGTATCTGCTCTGGCAAGAAGTGGGAATGCTTGAGTACAGCGTGGGAGCACATCCAGCTCAGAGGCCAAGTAGCACTGTATTTGGGAAGTTAATGCTTCAGTATAAACTATCATTAATTAAGCCATATCACAGCTCATGAAAAATGTGCATCCCATCCTTACAAACGTACTGGAAAAAAAATACCACAAAAACCCAACAGGTATTTTGCACATAGTAATACTCAAATAGGTTTTAATTAAATTGGGGTTTACAGTTGCTGTAATTAGAAGTTGAAGTACAGTAGATGTATTGTATTTGGAGTTTTTTATTGTAATAATTTACTACACATTTGTTTAATGGAAGAAAAAAAGCAGAAATGTGTTGCTTTATTGTGGGTTTTATTAAATCATTTATTAAACTTCACATTGTTGTCTTATAAAATAATTATTTGTATTGCTGTCTCTTGTCATCATCTTTGATTCTTACAGCAGCTGTTTTTCTAAGTGCCTGAACATTCAAGCCTAACTCAGATTGGAGATACTATATATAGACTGAATTATGTCTCCCTCTTTAGTCAGAACAATTTAAGTCCTGTTATTTCCCATGCAATAATTGCACTTTAGAACATATAAGCTGACAAAGTATGGTGAAGGAGCAGCCATAAAACAACTGGCAAAACATACTTGAAACCCTACACTCACCCTTGAGGGGCCCTTGTTATCAAGGGCTATAGACTGCAAGGAGTTCAGAGAAAAAGCGACAGAAAATGAAAATCAAGAACAGAAGAATCAATGCATCTGTCTCCGGAAGAGTCTGAAGTGCACATGCCCTGTTTTAAGGTCTAACTAAATTCACGTGGAAATTTATATCTCTGTGGCCTACCTCTAATCCTTTCCTTATTCTTTTTAAATTATTCAGGGCACAGGTTGGTGTGCACTGCTATGATTTATGTAAGAATCCAGTATTCTTCTGAATCTGCTAATAATTAACATCAAAAGTAATAGGCATATTATCACTTACAATTTTCCTAGGGATGGAATAAACCAGCACAACAGAACTATAAAAATAACCAAGTAGCAAGAATTAGTATACTTACTTAAAAGGCTAGAGAAATAGGCAGGAAATAACACTGATTTGCAAATAAACTATCAGAAATTCATTATCTAATACACAATAACAGTACTCAGGAAGTGCAAGTGCCTGTAAAAGAAGTTATTTTTATAGACATTGCAAGGTCATTTTCATTATGAGCATAGAGGAAAGGGGCCTTCGTATAAGAATCAGGTCTAATATCTTTCCAAACAGCTCTCCAGCACATCCAGATTATTTCATTTACACACACTACTCTTTTCCTTCTACAAAATCCTCTGCTTGAAATTAAAATGCATTTACTTAGTGGGATTTCTCTCTCACCAAGAGATGCATAAGAGTTGAGCAAGTTTCCACAACTAGTGTTCCTGCTTTCCGGAGCTGTGCTGTAATACAGCTAAAATCCGGTGAAAAATCTGCCAACTCTAACGGTCTATGTTGGGAAGAGATTTTTCCTTTCTTAATCTGTGATTGTCACCCATCCTTTTCTGGAGCAGGGATATAGCTTTGATGACAACCTACTCATATGAGTCAAGAAAGAATTTTTATATTGAGCAGACTGCAAAGCCTTACATCCCACTCTTCTAGTCTGAAAAATTATCCTAAGAAGAAAATTAACAGAAACCTATTTTATTTCTGAATGTTTCCCTTGCTCAATTTTGTGAAGCTTTTTGTTCGCTTTGTTTTTTAAATTGTGTTGGCATTTGGTCCTTTCAATAGTAGGAACATTTCTTTCTACACCAGCAGAATTACCACTTAAAATATCACACCTGAATCTGGTCTTTGATTATTTTACTACCGTACACACCTATTTCTTGCAGTCACTCCCAATTGGCAGAATGACTACGAAAAGCAGCAGACTGGCATTTAAAAGCAGCTTTCTGACATAAAAAACAAAACCCCCAAAAGATGCGCACCATCTAATGAGTAACAAGTCTTTTGTTCAGGTATTTTGGAAGAATCTTATGAGGATGCTGTGCTGATGCTGCATAGCGCAGGGCTTTTAAGTGCTATTCCTCTACAGATACTAAAATAATACCATAAGGTAAGGTAATTAGACGTGATGTGTATTGCAGTAGATTCCTAGACTCCAATAAGCTAGTCCATCATTAGAGAAGTTCTCTTCTGGTCTCAAGGGGACGGGACAATCCACTGCAAATACCCAGCTCATTTCCCTCTGTCCATCCAAAACGGCATCACCAAGATCTTTTTTCTTGCTAGTTGCTCCAAGCCCATTCGGTGGTTCCAGGACTTAGCACACCTAGTTCAAACATCGTGTTTCACCAGCATTTTGTGCTATGCCACTGCTCTCTGCTTCTCTCACTTCGTTTTCTTGCAATACTCTACATGCTCCACAGCTTCACTAATAATGTCCAGCTTGCACCCTGTGCACTTGCTGCTTACATGGTCCCTAGGAGCTTCTCCTGGGTGGGAAACACCCACCAACGACTTCCAAGGCCTGTTCTATTCAAATATACACTTGCCCAAAGTCTGTTTCCTCTTTGATCTCTAGATGAAAAAAATCTTTAAGCCACCAAGTTGCGAACTCACAAGAAAGACCTATTCTGAAAGCCTCTACATTAAAAAACTAAAAGCCTTTCTACCTTAAAAATAAACAAACCAAAATAGACACATATAACTAAAAAGAAAGATAAATAAATGCAAATAAACAATAAACACTTTTACCACCTTTAATCCTCTTTCCAGCTTCACCCTTCCACCCCATCATCCCCCCATGCTGGGACTATCCCACACTCTCTGTGCTCTGGAGCTGGTAAATCCCCTTCTGGTCTACTCTCCTCGTTCCATTTTCCATGGCTGAATGCTCTGGGAAGGACCATACCTGTGTGCTTTCATTCTGTCAAGTACCTGACATTACTTTGGAAGCTGCTAGAATAAATACCGATCCTGTCCCTTTACTGCCATCCAGCTGCCACAGCAATCTGCTCTCAGAAAGCATGCGTACCTGCCTTCTATGTTTAAAGCTGTAAAATAATATCCAAATCAATATTTTTGCTCTTTGATCTCTATTTTCCTTTTCAACATTGTGTTCTACTTTTTTTTTCCTCAGTAACACACAGTCTGAAAACTGCCAGTGCTAAATGTACAAGACAAAATAACTTAATTGCCTTTATTACAGTTATGAAGCATTTACACCTTTTATGGCACCAATGTCTGTGGAAAAAACCAAGCCATTTCATAAACAACCACAGTTTTATCGATATGATGACTGCTTTATGATTTCCTTACTACTGTGCTTGGTGAAAAGATACGTTGTTTTTTCCAGGATTGTGACTAGCCAGTACACCAGGGTACATGAAACCAGTCCATGAAGTCTGTCCAGAGTGTGTTTCACATTAAACTCAATACTGCTATACACAGGGATTTTTGATTCAGCTGATGAATACATAAAAGCAGCCAGATGGCAAGCAGACAAAAAATTTGCTTTTGTCTCAGGTGCACTAAGAGAACCCAAGATTCCCTACCCTTCCCATTTCTTTCTCGCAAAACACACAGAGAGAAATTATGTAATAAATCCCTAAATAAATTTATGAGATGCCAACATATAAAAATAACTACTTAATTCCAGTAACTGGCCTTTTAACTCAGATAGAACTTTTGAGAAAAACACCATAAACAAACATTTTCATAGTTAAGAAGATGCTACATATTTGAACCTGGCACTCAATCACTCTTGATTTTTTATTTATTTCATGTGTTCCCTTTCCCAAGCCCACTCACTGTAAGAACAAGTCTGACACAAAACTGTCCAAATACCCTTTCCTCTGAACTGCCAACCTTCAAGGCCTTTCCCGAGTTTCCCAGCAGATGGCGCACTAGTCTCAGCTTCAACAAACAGAGTTGTGTCCTGCGTAAAATTACAGACACTTCTGTACCTCAAAGGAATAAATTTTGTTGCAAATTTTTAAAATGTCTTCTTGGTAAGTGAAAAAAAAACCTTCTTAATTTTTCCTAAGGATAACACAAGGGATTTAATTATACGATGGGTACAATAAGGAAAAGCACAAACCTAGCACAGGTTTGCTAATCGATTACTGGGAAGGATTTAAGATACTTCTTAAAGGCATATACAGGTAAATATCACGGAATACAACGCTCAAATGCCTCCCTCAAGTTCCGAGTATGTAATAAAAAATTATATGAGTGGAAATTAGTTGTGACTATGGGTATCTGAAATGCAACTAGAACAAATTCTATTCATTAATGTAAACAATCTAAGTTACCATGCAAGCTCTTTGTTTCTGTGAAAATAAGTATTGCTTCTTTGGGGTGCTGAATTCATGTTTCCAGCACAATATATTTGAACATCCATTTGAAACATTTGTGACTGACAGCTTTTTTATAAAGGATTTGATGACACTTTCAGCCAAAATCATAAACTGGGGGAAGCGATTTTGTTTCAAAATAGGCAGCTACAATTATAAATGCAGATTATCATTGTGTTTACTGTCCTGATTTGAGGTAAAACAGAAAAAATTTTCTGTTCAGTAATTTTATTTTTTTGCTGGGCCTCTTCTAACTAAATTCTGAAGTGAACCTCAAGCCAGGACAGTTTATGCTGCTGCAATTGCTAGTATAACGTTGTCTTTTGATCTAGTTGAACAGGCTTCACAGAGAGAAAATAGAGATGGCAGAGGCTGAAGAAGTCAGAACCACAACTTCCTTCCAGTAAAGCCTTCTTTCATTTCTTCAAGCTATTAAGCAATTCTGTATTTTCTAAGCTTCTGCAGAAGACATGCACCTTCAACTGGAAACAGAAATTACCCAACCAGTTACACACACTGGTTGCTTTCTGCTTAGGTATTTGCTTTAAATATAAACTAGATGGAAAACATTATGATGGTTTTCAGGTAACCTAGCTGCTTGGACTTGGCAGGAAGCAAAGGTCAAGTCATATCACAGAAAATTGAAAAGAAAGCAACTCCCTGCATATCAGAAGTTAAAGGGCCACATGCAGTAAACTGTAAACAAAGGTACGTTTTAGATACTCTCACTCATGGAGAACTATGCAGGATATCACACTACATTAGATCTATTAACTGTCTTTGTAAAGCAGCAATGAAAGACAAGTGTTATTCCCCCACCCTCAGACTTACTACATTTGAAGTTTCTCTGGAGGAAGGACTGAGGGAAGAGGTGGCCCCATAATTTTAGCTGTCCGAGCTAGAAAGAAGCAGCACACAGACCACGAGTAATAACAAAATTAAATCCTACTAATAGGCCCATCAACTGCTACGGCTAAGTAAGGGTATTCATACTGCTATTTTGTTGCTTGGTTGGTTTTTTTTTTTGGTTTGCCTTTTTTTTTTAAGAGTTCATACTTTCTTCATGAT